GGGGAAAGGGGCGGCCCCGGGCCCCCGAGCCTGCAGCTCCATCCCTGCGTGTGGACAATTACCCCCACGGGTGTGCTTGATGGGATGGCATCAGCGCAGTGTGACACGTGGGTAATGGTCCACACACAGGGACGGAACCGCAGGCTCAGGGCGCTGAGGTCCGATGCAAACGCTGTACAGACAAAAATGAACTCCTTCACACGTTCAGGCTCAGGAAAGCCCAAGAGACAATTTCCTTCACCTCAGAACAGGACGACAATAAACAAATGCAGGTGACTTCACTTGTGCTTTTTGCGTGATGCAACCCTTTAAGGCAAGGGAGCCAGAAGGTGCTCTGCAGAGAGGAGTACGGGGAGGGAAGAGTCTCTTCCAAAGAGATTTAAGCAGAGCATGCGGATGATGCTTTGTTGTTTAAAGGTTAGTATTACTGCAGTAGCAGTTTAGCTGGTTAACTCATCCCGTTCACACACGCAGGCAGCAACCGGTTGTCAACGGGTCTTTTCTGAAGAGAGGGAATACAAATGTTTTAGCAGTGACCGTTCATTCATCATCCCTAATGAGGCTGATAGAGAGTATCACAGTAATAACAGGTTTTGCAGTACCACACAGCTTGGAGCCTGGGTGCTCTGCATTGTATTCAGCCAGGATTTCAAGATAACATCCGCCACGTATCTTTCAGAAACTACCAACTCTGAGTGCTTTGCACAGATAGCCAAGATGACTATTTGCTTTTCTAAGCTACAAAGTTCATCTCTAGTCTAATCCACCACCGAAAGCGACACAAGGACCGGTGTCTGCCAGAACAATACCGTATTACACTGTTTGAGAAACTAACAGTTTTAACAAGCAAATTAGTTTTCCATAACAAAGTGAATGATTCTGACCTATTTATCTAAGGCAAATACAGCATCTACTATTACAGAAGTCAGAGGACAGGAGGATCCAAGGGGAACTTAAAAGCACCTAACAAAATGCTATACACATCAAGCAAGAAAAACTAGCAAAAAAGAAAAGCGTTCTGATAAAAGTTGTGTTTGAAGAAGGAAGTCACAGCTAGTTGACCAAAACTTACACAGGCTGACCAAGAGCAATTGACTGCTTTTTCTTGCTGCCTAGGGGGGATGAGAGGTCAGAGGAAAAGAGGAAGCTGGATTTTGAGGTTTGTTTACTTGAAGGGCTGCTATTTTGTGAAATGAAATGGAAGAGTTATTTGCAAGCAAAAGAAACAAACTTTTTTTTTCTTTAAATTTTAAGTTTCAAACTGTTTACAGGGTCAAAAATGAAGTCCCGTGTTTATGAGGTACCATCCCTCTAGTTTATTGCTGGCTTTGAGTTCAGGCTATTGTAATAAGAAAACATCAAAGAGCAACATTTAGCAATAAGCTTGAATTACATTAGTCACCTACTTCTCCCATGAAGTAAATATCAGGAACAAAAAGAAAAACAAACACTCTCATCCTTGCATAGACTGTAATTTCTGCTTACCTGTGACACTGTCAAAATGGGGAAGACCTGATTAGAGCTGCTTTATCAGTGAGGAGGAGTAGAGGCCCAAGAAAGAGGAGAAGGGAAGACTGAATGTAAATGGTTTTGTGCTGGCTGACTTTGTCTAGGACTTCAGAGCTCTGCTGTCACATTCATGTCTGTGTTTCTCTGTTCCCTCTTTCTCCTCAGCCATGTCTTCCCCAGCTCAATCAGCACTCTCTTGCTCTGCTCCCAGTCTCACAGCAGTTGTTACTAGAGGCAAGATGCCACCACCAAGCAGATGTTCTCCGCAATAAGTTCTCTCTTCTCCCCTTCAACCGCCTGCCCCAAGGCCACTCTCCTCTATTCGAATGACCAAACTGGTGAGAAGTGTGGGATTTTGTGTTCTGCTCAGCCCTCTGCTCACCTTTTGTTATTTCCTTCAAGAGACAGTCACAAGAGCAAGACATCCTCTCTTCTATTTGCCTTTCACAGGAACCCCATCACAGATAATTCCACTAGCTTCTCCCTCAAACTTTCTTCCTGATTGGCATCATGCCATACTCCCACCCCTCTCTCGTATTCTCCCCTTTCACTCCTCCATAAAAATAGAGCCATACTTCAATATCTTCAATTCTTAGAATAGTTTCTTTCCACAAAGGAACACAGTGGTTCCTCTTCCTTTTCAGGCTTCTTGGACACAAGCTTCATATCTCTGCTTTTCATTTGAAGAACAGCCTTTGCAACCCCCCCAACCCTCTCCAGCAGTCTGTGAGGCTCAGTTCACGACAACACTTTTCTGCATCTACTCAGAAGACAAATTTGGCTTCTTTCTCTGTTCCCATCACTCTCAGATCAACTTCTGTTCATGAGATAAATCTCCCATGCAAGTCTTTATTAATCTCTTCACAGATGCTCAGCTGCCAGCTCGGGCAACTTAAAGCTAAGCTTACCCTTTTCCTTGCTTCACCTACCTTCTTTCACGATTATTGGGCACTTTCCCCAGCACCTGTAACTCCAGTAGCACTCTTCATCCAGGCAGTTGCATATATCTATATGTTAATCACCCAGATCTTTTCTGCCCAATAGCTTAAATCCATGGACACCATTCAGCTACACATTTGCACAACTGGACTTTGCCTTGACTGCTACTCTGTATTTTTCCTCAGCTTTCCTAAACATTGTTTTGCCTCAGTACTGGTAGTGTGTGAAAATAGCTACCCACAAAAGCTATTTTCCCAGCCTGTTCTTCTGAACTCACCATCCCTTTTTCTTTGCCACCCCTGGTCCAGCAGCTCCTCTCCTATCAGGTCACTCCCATAGCTGCTTTCTCCCTACTGTCTCCCTCAGCCAGTACTGCCTCCAAGCAGTGCACAGTGCCAGCCTTCCTCGCTGCTTCAACTCTTGATGTTTAAACCCACAGTGCTGCTCTCCTTCAATAACCAGTCGTTTGCAGCAAAGGCTTTAAAAGAAACCTTTGCTTTAAATGGT